AGCCGCAAATATAAAAATATCAATCCCTATCCACTCTGCCAAAACCATGTATGTATGTAAAAACCTTTGCCATATTCCTCCATATGTCTTTTACTTCGAGTGGTGGTAAATCTAACTCCTTCAACCTTCCTCATGCTGAGATTGCGTATATCTGTTACCAGCTTCGTAGCTTGTCTTTTATGTTTCCCAATTTATTCATATGATTTTTCAAGAGTCTATGTGTGTGTGGGTGAGTGTGTGCACGTGCGAGCGCATGTGCGTGTCTGTATTAGATATTACAATAGTTTTAATAGCGGACATCCTGAATATTATATTTTATATGCTTGAATTTAAGAGTTGATCTCCTGGATGCAACCGGAATTATGAACACTTTGTAAATAATTATAATAATATCAACAACAACAACAACAACGACAACGAAAACAACAACAACAGCAACAACAACAACAACAACAACAACAACAGCGACAACGACAATGACAACGAAAACAACAACAACAACATTAACAATAATAATAATAATAATAATAATAATAATAATAATAATGATAATAATAATAATAATAATAATAATAATAATAATAATAATAATAATAATAATAATAATAATAATAATAATAATAATAATAATAATAATAATATTTTTCCATTGTAGAGTCTTTGGAAAAGGATAATAAATTTTTATCAAAACCTGAGCTCGTGGAGATAATTTACTACTGATCCACCTCTCTAGAAGCTGTTTTCTGGCCGCAAAGTAACCGAGAGAAAATATTAGAACGAAGGAGGCTGTGATGAAACCCTGATACTATTTTCCTCTATTTTAGGGTGCGTTGATCCCATCCTTTGAAGTTTTGATAGATATGGTTACTTGTATGAGAAAATTTTTATTATTATTATTATTTTTATCATTATTGTTATTATTATTATTATTATTATTATTATTATTATTATTATTATTATTATTATTATTATTATTATTATTATTATTATTATTATTATTATTATTATTATCATTATTATTATTATTATTATTATCATTACTATTATTATTATTATTATTATTATTATTATTATTATTATTATTATTATTATTATTTAAATTCCTCAAAAATATTGACATTTCTATTATTTTCTATGAACGGAATGATTTGTGACACCTTATATATATATATATATATATATATATATATATATATATATATATATATATATATATATATATATATATATATATATATATATATATATATATATATATATATTATATATATATATATATATATACGCACATACATATATCTGTGTATATATGTCGCTAACCTTGTCATGAACATATCCTGCCTGGCGCTTTCCACATAACGCATTCTCAAGGTGATAGAGATCGCTCTTCCGAAAATAATTTTGATATTTGTCATCTTCGTTAGTTACCGTAACAGAAGACGGGAAACATGCTCCAGTAAAAACAGCTGTGGGGGGGGGGTCTGCCCCCCCCCTACGTTTCTATCTCAGATTTGGCTTGTCTCTCCATCCACACGTATGGGTTCATGACCCAGTTCAAGACGTCACAAGCAGTGCCATGGCACCTTTTTTTCTGTTACTTAATAGCCAGTTATGTTTCCTAGTATTTGCCATGGCCCCATGGTGGGGTTAAGAGGTTTCTACCGGCGCCATCAAGCTTACTCTTTAACTGTACAGTAACTTTACTATGTCGGGGATTGATAAGAGCATAAACCCCCCCCCCACCCCGCAGCTCTCTCATGTTAAAAATAAACAAAGAGTTCAGAGAGTAGATCATAGAATAAGGTAAACAGAAACATCATATTTGCATTAATCAAGCAATTATTATTATTATTATTATTATTATTATTATTATTATTATTATTATTATTATTATTATTATTATTATTATCATAATTATTATTATCATTATTATTATTATTATTATTATTATTATTATTATTATTATTATTATTATTATTATTATTACTGTTATTGTTGTTGTTGTTGATATTGTTGTTGTTGTTGTTGTTGTTGTTGTTGTTATTATTATTATTATTATTATTATTATTATTATTATTATTATTATTATTATTATTATTATTATTATTATTATTATTATTATTATTATTATTATTATTATTATTATTATTATTATTATTATTATTAGTGGTATGCCTCATCGGGTTGCATTGCTGAATGCTTGAGTAAATTAATAAAAAGATATGTTAGAAAATTGAAGGCCAACTTTGTTATCATATTTATTTATTGCATTTTTACGGAAGTATTTTATCACTTCCTTAAAAATGACGTTCCATATTTTCCGTTATTATTATTATTATTATTATTATTATTATTATTATTATTATTATTATTATTATTATTATTATTATTATTATTATTATTATTGTTGTTGTTGCTATTACTTTACTCACTTACACACACGCACACACAAATCTGTACAAGAAATGTATGACATCTTTTGTGAGAAATATGGGAAGATAGTAGATTGCTGCATACCTGTCACCAAAGTAGGTGTAATTCATGCCAGAGAGAAATGGTTCGATAATGGGTGTAAAAGAGCTAAGGAGTGGAGAGACAAATGCTGGAAAAGGTGTAGGAGGAGAAAAAACATAAATGCCTGGCAAACCTACAAAAGAGCAAGAAATGACTACCTAAGTAAAAGGAGAGAGACTATGAGAGGGACATCACCAGGAAGGCTAAAGAAAATCCCAAGCTTTTCCACAGCTTTATCAGAGGAAAACTGAAGGTAAAAGAACAGGTTTTAAGGCTAAAGAGAGCGGATGGAAGCATCACTGAGACGGATGAAGAGATCTGCAAAGAATTGAACAAGGAGTTTCAGTCAGTATTTACAGTAGAAAATACCCCACCCCCTCAGATTGCAGTGATAGAAGCTCAAGGGCCAGTATTAGAGAACATGAACCTTACAGCCACAGAGGTATGCAAAGCGCTGATGGATTTAGATGTTCATAAAGCTACAGGTACTGATGACATATCCCCTCATGTGCTTAAAAAATGCGCAAACTCAATATAACTGGCACTAAGTATCATATTTAAAAAGTCACTGGAGTCAGGGGAGATTCCAAGATGCTGGAAACAAGCAAATGTGATACCTATCTTCAAAAAGTTAAGGAAGGATACAGTTCTGAACTATAGACCAGTTTCCCTGGCCAGTATAGTTTGCAGAGCTATGGAGAAACTACTAAGGAAACATATCTCTCTTCACTTGGAATCCTTCAACTTTTTGTCAGTGAGGCAACATGGCTTCAGAGAAGGTAGATCAACAGTAACAAACTTATTAGAATTTTATGATGAGGTAAGCCAAATCTTACAGGAAAGAGAGGGCTGGGCAGATTGCATATTCCTAGACTTCCAGAAAGCGTTTGACACTGTTCCACATGGGAGACTTATTAGGAAGCTGCAAGCAATGGTTAGAATAGGTGGAAATGTTTTGGAATGGATAAAAACTTACTTAGAAGGAAGGGAACAGAGGGTTATAGTAAGACACTCAGTGTCTGAATGGAGAAGAGTTAGTAGTGGAGTTCCACAGGGTTCAGTTTTAGGGCCACTTTTGTTCCTTGTATATGTAAATGACCTACCAGAGTCTGTAAATTCATTCATGAATATGTTTGCAGATGATGCAAAGATTGTGAAGAAAGTAGGAAACGAGAACAATGGTAGAGAACTTCAGGAGGATCTAAATAATCTGCATGAGTGGTCAGAAAAGTGGCTAATGAAATTCAATACTTCAAAATGTAAGGTAATGAGAATGGGTACAAGTGCAAGAAGGCCCAAGCTTGACTACTCGGTGGCTGGAGTACAACTTCAAGAGACAGAAAATGAGAGAGATCTAGGAGTAAACATACTGGCAGATTTGTCTCCAGAAATACATATAAATGGCATAGTAAGGGCAGCATATGCATTCTTATCAAATGTAAGGGTAGCCTTCAGGCACATGGACAAGGAAATGTTCAGAAATATTTATGTAACCTATGTGAGGCCAAAACTCGAATATGCAGCCCCCTTTTGGAATCCGCACTTGAAAAAGCACATAGCCAAGCTTGAAAAAGTTCAAAGACATGCCACGAAACTGATGCCAGAAATACGCAATCTCAGTTATGATGAGAGGCTGAGGGAATTAGACTTACCATCACTCGAAGCTAGAAGAGTGAGGGGGGATATGGTGACAGTCTTTAAATTCCTTCATGGTTATGATAGAGTGGATAGGGATCGATATTTTGATATGGCTGGCTCTAGAACTAGAGGTCATAGTTTGAATCTTCGTAAGAAAACTTCTTTGCAGGATGTAAGGAAATACTTTTTCAGTGTAAGAGTAGTTGATAATTGGAATTGGCTAAGCGAGGAGGTAGTTAATGCTATCTCAATCCATAGTTTTAAGGACAGGTATGATAAGTATGACTAAGTCTAAAATGGAACCGATGAGGAGACGGGAAGATACGAGCTTTGGGCTCTTTCCCGTAAACACAATTAGGTAATCACACACACACACACACACACACACACACACACACACACACACACACACACACACACACATATATATATATATATATATATATATATATATATATATATATATATATGTACATACATACATATACCTTGGCTGTTTCCCCCTTAAATTGGGGGGTAGCCGACATCAAAAAAGGAAAACAGTTTGGGGAGAAGTTATTCTCCCCTCTACTCCCCCTCTTCTTTGACGTCTCACAGGAGGTTGGTACAAGGGGGGGGATTAATATATATATATATATATATATATATATATATATATATATATATATATATATATATATATATATATATATATATATATATATATATATATCAAATTAAGATTTGAATTAAAAGTGAATAAAAGCCAAGAGTATTGTTGGGTAGAGGAAGAGTAAAATGAACAGAGATTGTCAGTAGTGTGTGTTCATTCCCTAGCTCCAGCAGTTATTCGAGTGGTTTAATTCTTTTACCTTATGCGGCATAGCCGGTAGCGTCTTATGGACACTGATGGACTGTCAAGTTTGCTGTAGGTTCGAATCCTGGTCTAGGGTAAATATATGTTTAATAATTTTAGATAAGATAAAATGTAAGTTGACCATTGTAAATGCTTCTATAAAAGAAAAATTTAAGTAAATGAGAAATAAGACCGCTAGAGAGGATGAAAAATGTGTGTTATAAAAATATAATTAGATTATATATATATATATATATATATATATATATATATATATATATATATATATATATATATATATATATATATATATATATATATATATATATATATAATGTCCTTCTAGATTTTATTATTATGCTCTGTAGCTTTCATCCTGTTGTACATGTGTCACTCAGGTGCGCGTGCCAAAGTAACAAATTATATATTTTTCATCACCAAATAAATTCTCTACCTGTTACAGCAAGCTTGGTCTGACTCACCGGATATAAATGCATGCCTTTATCCAGATTATGAAATATATAATTATAAAATATAAACATTCAAGGACACGTTCTTGGTCTTGAATACGATGTGGTGAAAATGGAGACATAACGTTTAAACTAGCATATATTACTATATTTATATCAATATCTAGCTATCTATCTATCAATCTATCTATCTATCTATTTGTCTGTCTGTCTGTCAATCTCTATATCTATCTATCTATCTATCTATCTATCTATCTGTCTGTCTGTCTGTCTGTCTGTCAATCTATCTATCTATTTATCTATCAATCTATCTATCTGTCTGTCTGTCTGTCTATCTGTCAATCTATCTATCTGTCTATCTGTCAATCTCTATATCTATCTATCTATCTATCTATCGATCTATCTATCTATCTATCTAACTCTCTATACTCTTTTATTTTTTAACGCAATATTATTTTTTAATTCTTTATGGTAATTATGTTATCTAATTACTTTTTTATGCGATAATCATAATTCTAGTGAATGTATGTATGTGCATTGGCATTTTATCTCTTGTTAGAGTTGCAATCCTAACCTAAGGCGAACTAACATGGTACAATTCACGTGCTTTATATGACGAAATTAATTATGTTTAAATAGCCTCCGTAATGGCTTCGTTATTTTGGAAAATTGTTTCTTGTTTTTTGATGTATCACCTTGGCCCTGTCACGATGCTGATGTACAGACGAACTGTAAGGAAGATACAAACAGATTAAGAATAGAATATCAGATCCAGAGACATAATGTTGTCCTTTGTTTTAAGGTAAAATTCTTATCTCAGGAGAACTCACATTATAAGACTCATGTGCCTTACGTGAATTGATATATTGAACATACACACACACACACACACACACCCAGATATATATATATATATATATATATATATATATATATATATATATATATATATATATATATATATATATATATGATTACCTAATTGTGTTTACGGGAAAGAGCCCAAAGCTCGTATCTTCCCGTCTCCTCATCGTTTCCTTTTTATACTTAGTCATACTTATCATACCTGTCCTTAAAACTATGGATTGAGATAGCATTAACTACCTCCTCGCTTAGCCAATTCCAATTATCAACTACTCTTACACTGAAAAAGTATTTCCTTACATCCTGCAAAGAAGTTTTCTTACCAAGCTTCAAACTATGACCTCTAGTTCTAGAGCCAGCCATATCAAAATATCGATCCCTATCCACTCTATCATAACCATGAAGGAATTTAAAGACTGTCACCATATCCCCCCTCACTCTTCTAGCTTCGAGTGATGGTAAGTCTAATTCCCTCAGCCTCTCATCATAACTGAGATTGCGTATTTCTGCCACCAGTTTCGTGGCATGTCTTTGAACTTTTTCAAGCTTAGCTATGTGCTTTTTCAAGTGCGGATTCCAAAAGGGGGCTGCATATTCGAGTTTTGGCCTCACATAGGTTACATAAATACTTCTGAACATTTCCTTGTCCATGTGCCTGAAGGCTACCCTTACATTTGATAAGAATGCATATGCTGCCCTTACTATGCCATTATATGTATTTCTGGAGACAAATCTGCCACTATGTTTACTCCTAGATCTCTCTCATTTTCTGTCTCTTGAAGTTGTACTCCAGCCACCGAGTAGTCAAGCTTGGGCCTTCTTGCACTTGTACCCATTCTCATTACCTTACATTTTGAAGTATTGAATTTCATTAGCCACTCTTCTGACCACTCATGCAGATTATTTAGATCCTCCTGAAGTTCTCTACCATTGTTCTCGTTTCCTACTTTCTTCACAATCTTTACATCATCTGCAAACATATTCATGAATGAATTTACAGACTCTGGTAGGTCATTTACATATACAAGGAACAAAAGTGGCCCTAAAACTGAACCCTGTGGAACTCCACTACTAACTCTTCACCATTCAGACACTGAGTGTCTTACTCTAACCCTCTGTTCCCTTCCTTCTAAGTAAGTTTTTATCCATTCCAAAATATTTCCACCTATTCTAGCCATTGATTGCAGCTTCCTAATAAGTCTCCCATGTGGAGCAGTTTCAAACGCTTTCTGGAAGTCTAGGAATATGCAATCTGCCCAGCCCTCTCTTTCCTGTAAGATTTGGCTTACCTCATCATAAAATTCAAATAAGTTTGTGTGTGTATGTATGTATGTATGTATGTATGTGTTTGTGTGTGTGTACGTATTTCTTTATTAATTTACCTAATCTTGTTCATGAAAAAAGTTGTATATTCCCTTCTCCTGGTCTGCTTCGTAATGTTACTCACTAACACACATCGTATCTCTTCATAAGGCAATGATTGCATTTAGCATTTACAGTTTCCTCACTTAGCGCACTTAAAGCAGTACTTCCTTACATCCTGCAAAGAAGTGTTCTTACGAAGCTTCAAACTATGACTTCTAGTTCTAGAGCCACCCATATCAAAATGTCGATCCCTATCCAAAAGTCAAAGTCAAAGTCAAAAACTTTATTCCATAAAAAATGGCTATTACATGATAATTAATCTAATTACAAATTACAAATGTAAAATGTCAAAATGAAACAAATGAAATTTGCAAAGCACATAATCAAAATATTTACACATTAAAATAAGCATACGTACACTTCGTCTACCCAATGGGAGGATAATAATGAGACTAAAATCACTTATTAAGTAGGTGATTTAAAAGATGAGATTTAAATGAGGGTAATGTTTGGCAGCTTCTTAAGTTTGCGGGTAAAGAGTTCCAAAGTCTCGGGCCCATTACATTTAAGGCTCTTGCCCCAATATCAGTGGAAGTTCTGGGCACGTAAAAAGAATTCTGATATCTGGTGTTGACGTTATTGATACGCACTTGATTAACTGTTGGCAATGAGAAGAGCCATTCCGGTAATATTCCATGATTTATTTTAAAAACTAAAAGACAGATATTATATATGAACTTCATGTCCATCCTTAGCCAACCCAATCTCTCAAAGAGGGGAGTCACTCTATCAGAAACGATGGAAAAGAAAACCGTTATCATATTCTCCCTCTTCCTTTTAGTTTCAGATAGGTAGGTAGGTGGGCAGGTAGGTAGGTAGGTAGGTAGGTTGGTAGGTAGGTTGGTAGGTAGGTAGGCTAGGCGTTAATCTTACAATATGAAAATTGATGGAAATTGTTCAAATAATTTTACTTAATTATTTATTCATATATCTGTTTATTTTTTTATGAGTGTGACACCAGAACGGGCAGAGAAACTGTTCTCAACGGGCCCGGGCATTAAGAAAACATTCAAGAGACAGGACAGAGCAGAAATAAGAGAATCATTAACTATAAAAAGACGGTCTGAAAGAAAAGTTAAAATAAAGATGACCTAACAATGATGAAAAAGTAATCAAAGAGAAACAGATGGGGAGTGTTGTGACTTGTCAGACGTGAAGGGATAAGAGATGTGTAACTCGAACGTTTGCTGCATCACACAGCTCCAGTTCTGCTTACCTTAAGTGGCCCGCGAGGCGCTCTGTTTCTCTTTAGGCGTAGCTGAATACGCCAGAATATTCGGTGTAGATGTAGAAATGGGAAAAGTGCCACAGCTGAAGGAAGACTTAAAATCTAGCTTTCCTAACAACTTATTAATTCCAAAAAAGACATACAGCATTATTTATTTATATATATATATATATATATATATATATATATATATATATATATATATATATATATAAAAGTCTCTGAAGACACTGTTCTATCACTGTGGTCTAATATCCGCTGTTCAATCTGTGCTTGTCTTATAAAAACGTATCTTTTTATTTTTGTTGCATAGATGCAAAATATATGGAAACACTTCCAAGTGTATTTTTGTATATATTTGAATATTTAATTAAAGGTACATATAGTGTATTATTATTATTATTATTATTATTATTATTATTATTATTATTATTATTATTATTAAAGGAAATACAATTATAGATTTTATGTATTTAATTGGAAAAATAATAAGACAAATAATTTTGGTATTTTATTCATTGTATGGACAAAGTTTAAATATTTTCAATTTTTTATTGTATTTTATATTAGTTTTTGTAGTTAACAGAAGGAATGCCATTTACATTATAAGTATCATGTGTTTTCTGTACAAAGGAATTGCTGAAACTCTCTCTCTCTCTCGGCGAGGGATATAAAAACAATAAATTGTGCTTATTAGAGGGGAAATAACCATATATCCTAGAGTTGCATATGGCCAAGTAAATAAGAAAATTTAATATTTTTACATATAAAAAATCACCAATCACCAGCCATGTCTGAATGGCTGGTACCACACAGGTTGCCTTCTGACCGGATACCTGACTGGCTGACGTCTAACTGGTAACGACCTAACTAGATTTGAAGGTAAAGGTCTAAATCTGGAAGATGACGAAGGCAACCTCTCAAAATACCTTTCAGCATCTTCTCTCACAAGATCGACGTCAAAGACCTCTGCGTCAGGATTTTCTTCTCGAGGCAAAGGTCCTCTGTAGTTCACATCAGTGTCGCCTTCTAAATTTATAACACTCCTTCCAGCAGTTACTGGAGGATTGGGCAATGGAGTTGGTATTGGCCTCATTCGGGAAGAAGCTGCG